TAGGATAGGTAGAGTAGGGTAGGTAGAGTAGGGTAGGTAGAGTAGGGTAGGTAGAGTAGGGTAGGTAGAGTAGGGTAGGTAGGGTAAGTAGTCAAATGGCGGGAGCGACGCCGCGGGTAAGAGTTAGTTATTGTATAAGTTTAGGCAAACCTGGATGATTCTTGTCAATAGTCTAGTTAAATCTAGCTGCTAAAACCCAGACATTTAAAACGTTATGAACTGTCGGAAGAAAGCTATAAATTTTGTAGACTTATGTCTAGAATGTATTGCTCTTTAAAACTTTCACGTTGTCTTTTTTAATTAAAGATTTATGTAAATTTTTCTGTCAATGTTTTTTGTCATATATGCCATTTGGTGCAGTCGTTTATGAGTTATAAGCACACGTATAATGGTCATTGCTTTTGAGGTATACTTAATTGTGAAGATGTATTTTCTAATATAATAATTTAGGTTTGCCCTATTTTCTATTATCGAAATCGCTCCAGTCTAAACATTAGAATGCTTTGTCAGAGTCTGTGTTCCCCGAAGGGAAAGGACCTGTGTGTCTTCAAGGCCCAAGTGAATAGGTTGCTTATGGGTAGGCGACATATTTGCCAAAAATCAAATACAATTTTAAAAGTCTTTTGATCCAAAATTTGTGCCAAGAAAGTTTATTAATTAATTTTTAAATTCGTCAGTATTTCTTCTTTTTAACAATTTTAGCATTCGGATTTGAGGTCTGTCAATTCAATGTCAAACTGAAAATAGTCGTTAAAACCAAAAAAGTGTCATACTTATTCGTAAAATAATTACTCTATGTTACAAAACATATTTCTTTTTACATAAATATCGAAATCCACATTATTTACAATATCTTTTTAATCGACAAGAGTTACAAAATAAATATACCTACTTAGTTTTAAATATATTTTTATGAAATGAAAAAAAATAAGGTATACAAAAAACATCATAATAGTGAAATGATGACTTTGTAAAAATAAATCAATTAGAGTGTATTAAAATAACAATATTCTCACGGACTGATTGAATCAAAAGATTAGTTTAAAAAAAAATCATTTAAAATTTTATGTCCTCATATAAAATTCTGATAAAATAAAAGTACATTTGATGAAATATTACGTCACAATTTAGTATTTCCACACAAAATTTACTGGAAACGTATTTTTTTTACATTTTAAAATTTTTTAATTTAATTGTAATGTCAAAAGCGATAGTTTTTTACAAATTTTGTATGAGATCGTGACTTATGATAAATGATTTTACAACAAATAGCATACCTACATATTTATGAAAATAAAAAATAAAGTATTTATCGTGAAATAAATCAATGAAAATATGATTATTTTCAAAAATATTTCATTCTACAGAAGTCATAAAAAATTAATTTTGACCGAAGAAAAAAAAAACAATTTGGCAACCCCGTCATCATACCTATTTTAATGACAGATAAAAAACTTGACAGCTGACAGATATTGTCAAAGTGACATTGACACATTTCATCGTTATCTTTCAAACTTAAAAAAAACAGTCAGTCATTATGTCATCTCCTTAATAATTCATTTTCCTATGTGATAGGTCGGCAAACGAACTGACGGCTTACCTGATGGTAAGCAATAGAGTTGTGGAGCGTTGCCGACCTTTTGGGGATTAATGATTTGGAAATTTAGGGATTAGGGGAGGGGAAGGATTCTTAGCTAGATTTTTTCAAATCTTTGTCTTTTCTAACTTGTATGTCATTGTCGTCTGTGTGTTTTGTCCGTCTCGTCACGTTCTCGTGTCGTTTGCGTCTGGCAGTCAGTCTTCGCCTGTCATATGTACTGTCGTATGAATTGCCCCTGAAATTTATTAAAACATATTAAGTATCAATTAACTACATTGTACTGTTTTTTTTAAGGAATAGGAGGAAAGTGAGCTGACGGATCACCTGATGGTAAGTGATCAGCACCAGAGGAGTCACTTTATTTGATTAGTAACACAATTTTTTTACGATCCTGCCAAGGTTATAGATGCGAAAGTTTGTGAGAATATATGGACTTATGTTTGTTATTCTTCGTCACAAAAACGGCTGGACCGATTTAGTTGATATTTGTTATGGAGATAGATGATACCCTTTTTTTGTGAGGGGAAAATCATCAAATGACTTCTCCTGCCAGGGTAGGGCGGGACTCCTGCCAGAGTAACCCCCGCTGAACATCAGCCCTATAGGGCCCCGTCTGTGGTGATCTATTGGCTCTTTGAGGCGCGCGCGGAACGCTACGCGCCGTACGCTTGGGTCTGGTTCTGGTCGGGCGGCGAGCTATCCTTACTCGCCGTCTGCAGAGCCGCGCTTACGGTGGCCGGAGATCATCCCTCGAGATACCTTACCTCATAGTGTGCTTTTTATCAACATACCACGCGGGGAAAGCCGGGAGCGGAAGCTATTAGATTGATTATTCGCTGAGAAATTAATGGCCAAATCCAAGAACAAAGGCGTTTTGTGATATCTAGATGGTGCTGATGGATATAAAGAAAAGTATCTAGTGGGCAATTTTTTAACATATTGGTATAGTGTTATATACGTTTTTCTTCGATGTATCAACAATCTAGAAGTGACAACATTTTTTTTTTGCGAAAATAACGTTTTATTTATTTTTTCAATTCCGAAAGTGACAATTACAACATCCGGCGTAAACTCGTAAATGGTTAATAGTTATGCAAAAATGTTCCTTTCGACTTCAACATTTAGCTATTATGGAGAGAAACTCGATTTTAGTATTTTATTGCTATTACAACGAATATCTATCACAAATCAAAAATAAAAATCAATACATAATAAGCTGAGAAACACTAAAAAATCCGAATTATTATTACAAAAAAGCCACGAGATGACGTCATTGAGTTGGTTATTTTTTGTGATAAGGTCTGTAAATGAGTAGACGGATTATCTGATGGTAAGCAATCGGCGCAGCCCATGAACAATCGCAAAACTATAGAAGATACGACTGCATTGCCGACCTGTCAGGGATTAGCGGTGCGAAGATTTAGGAATAGATTTTTTTTAGTATTAAAATTTGAAATTTCAGTGATGCGCTTACTGTTTATATTATTTAGGTTACAATCGACTTACACCTGGTTTCCGAAAGGCCGATTAATGTTAAAATCGCTTTAATCTCTTTCCAAGTCATCTGATTGGTTGACTGAATTATCAACAACTAATCAGATGACTTGACAAGAGATTTAACAGGAGATTAGTTAATTTTAGCGTTGACAAGCCTTTCAGAAACCGGGCATTAGTATTTTTTAGTTGATAAATACCATGTAATTGAGAAAGTCCTAGTCCTCGCCAAGTCTAACATTTGAAAACGACGGATGTATGAAGAGAGATTTATGAATGAAAGAGAAAGAAATATTTCAAAATGGCGTTTGATTGTCATTGTCTACTGTTACCGGTGAATGAATGAGAGTATTTTATCACAAGTTTTGGGACATGGCCGCGGTTGCGGGGATAGCGCAAATGTACCGCAGCCTCGGCCTAAAGCAGGAGAAGGAACGGGTGATTTTCAGTAAGAGTCTGACACTCCTTCTCGCGTCTCCAAGCGAGAGACAACATACTACGATTTTCTCCTCTCAAAAAAAAAAACTTTGGAACACGTTGCGTGTTATGTGCTGGGAATGGTAAGAAAGCACTGACTGAGGATTTACCAACATTATTTTCAAAATCAGTATCTAAAAATAATATGTATTTTAGACCAAAGGGCTTACGGTTTTTTTTTGTGAGGGCAAAATCATCAAATGACTTCTCCCGCCCAGGGCTGGAGGGCCGGGCGAGAGGGAGTGTCAGACTCTTACTGACTAAAAACCCCTCTGTTCCTTCTCCTGCTCTGGGCCGAGGTCGCGGTGCCTCATTGCGCTTACCCCGCAATCCCGGGACGTGTTAAAGAATCAATCTTTCAAGTGAGAAAGAGAGATAGAGCTATACACCTTTTATAGCTCCATCCTTCTTTCTCACTCGGAAGATTGACGCTTTAATAAGTCATGGTAGGCCTACTGATGTCACTTCTAGATTAACAATTTATACAAAAAGTAAGTATTTATTTCAAATGAGTTTTAATATTATGTATAGGTAATCTAAAGATTAATATATTTTTATTTTTCTACACACTTTTTTCGCTAATGGTAACTTTTGTAACGTATTTGTAACTACATAATTATTAAATATAATACTTTTATATGACTTAAATAATTGTTATTTATATATTGTTAGAAGAATATACATATCTTTAGTTTTATCACATATTTTAATTAAGTTTAATACTAGTTGGGATTTTTACGTAACTGATCCTAATCTCGACAATATTTATCGTATGGTTTTTTTTTATCCAAAACTATTTTTATATAGACTGTAAATTGAAAAAAACTTGGTCAAATCAAATTGTGCAATGTTTTTTTTATATTCTTTTTATACAGTAGTTTTTTTTATTATGTATAATGATTTTGAAATTGGTTGGTAGTAAAAACTATTTACTCATATATATTTTTTTATTTTGGTTGATTTTTTTTGTTAAGATAAATGTAAAAGATACTTATAGTAAAGAAATATTATTGTTATTTTTGTACTTAAATTACTTAATAACTATAAGAAATTGTTGTACTTAATTCTGTCATAATTTTTCTATTTTAGTGATGTACCTAATATTTATAGTAACAATCGACTAAGATTTTCGATTTTTATTATCTAAAATGGCATTTTTTAGTTCGCTTAAAAATGTGTAGTTGGTAAATTTTTTTTCACTATTTATTTTTGACCATTACACCTAGAATACCTTTAAACATTTTGCTGAATATTTACTTTCTATAAAGTCTACTACAAATAGAATTAACTTCATAAATACGAAATGCAATGTAAAAACTTTATCTTCAGCGAAATATGTGCACATAGAGCTAATTTCGACTCGTGAATAATAATCGACTAAACAAATCGATTGTTATCTAAATAGAAGGTACAACACTATAATTAGGATCTACTTTTTCCCATTAATGTAGTTGCCACTCTCGTCCTTATACAGGTCCTCGTTAATACCGTAGAAGGCTGGCGCGTTTGGACAATCCACCTGAAAAAACAAATAAGCAATAGTATTATTATACTTATCTTACTAACTAAGTGTGGGAGAACCATGCTTCGGCACGAATGGGTCGGCTCGACCGGAATGATACCACGGCCTCACAGAAAACCGGCGTGAAACAACCACAGCATTGTGTTTCGCCGCGTGAGTGAGGTTACCGGAGGTCCAATCCCGCCCCTTCCCCTATCGCTTCCCGATCCTTATATCCGCAACCCCTATCCCCAAAAGGTCGGCAACGCACTCGTAACTCCTTTGGTGTTGCGGGTGTCCATTGGCGGCGCTGATTGCTTACCATCATGTAATCCGTCTGCTCGTTTGCCGACCTATACCAAAAAAAAACTAATATCATAAATGCAGAGCAAAGATCTTTTCCACTCGGAGATCTTTTGACCATTGGGTAATTAATGACCACGCTTGTTTAAGGCGATTGGCGATAGAGCTATTAATGCTTGTGTTGTTACTCAATACTATTTTTTTTTTTCGTAATATTGTCCCCATTTAGATTTTCTCTTGTGTCGTGTATGCGTTGACAAACGTACAATACCACATACACATCACACCTAGATCTGGAAAAACAATTTGAGGATCACTCAAAGAGTTGTTCAGGCTCACCATAGCATGGGAAAAAATTTGAGGTTTGAAAAATATGCCTCTTTTCTCTCGAGTTACTGCCAGTCACCCTGCGGATATCTGGATTGTGGTCGTGGTGGCCCGGAGGTTAAGGAGCCCACTTCTCATGCATGAGGGTGTGTGTTCGAAACCGCGCAAGTAGCAATGTGACTTTTTCCGAGATAAATGTACTTTCTATGATTATTTAGACACCACTGACATACGGTGAAGGTAAACATCGTGAGGAAACCTGGACTTATAATTTCTAATTTTAAGTTTGAAATCGCCAACCCGCATTGAGCAAGCGTGGTGATTAATGCTCAAGCCTTCTCCGGTTGAGATGAGGCCTTTGCTCAGCAGTGGGCCCTTATAGGCTGATGATGATGATGATGTCGCGGTGCCCGGTGCCCTGCGGTTGTCGTCAGTCCACCTAACTGGAAGGCACGCTACACTACGTTTACCTGGCTTTTTTAAATATAGTATTTAAAGGTTACCTTGAAGAACCAGTCGCAGACCCTGGTCTTCTGGTTGAATACTGTACCAGGTCCGCAGACGAAGGAGTACATCACGTTCCCGCCGATACTTGGGACGCACCAGTGCCAAACCTAGGAAAACGTATTGCTATTAAAAGTTTTGTAGGCGCTATAATATTTTCGTTGAATGATGAGAGAAATATTATGAAGGATTTGAAGTGCGGGAGAGCCAAGCTTTGGCATGAATGTGTCAGTTCGACCGGAGTGACACCACGGCCGCACAGAAAACCTGCGTGGAACACCACAGCATTGTGTTTCGCCGTGTGTGTGAAGTTACCGCAGGCCCGATAACACCCGGGGTTGCGGGGTAAGCGCAATAAGGTACCGCGACCTCGGCACAGAGCAGGAGAAGGAACAGGGGGGTTTTTAGTCAGTAAGAGTCTGACACTCCCTCCTGCCCGGCCCTGGGCGCGGGAGAAGTCATTTGATGATTTTCCCCTCACAAAAAAAAAAAAAAAAAAAAAAAAAGGCCCGATAACACCCCCTCACCTATCCCTTTCCAATCCTTAAATATCCGCAACCCTTATCCCCAAAAGACGGGCAACGCACTCGTAACTCCTTTTGGTGTTGCGGGTGTCCTTTGGCGGTGCCAATTGCTTACCATCAGATAATCCGTCTGCTCGTTTCCCGAAATATCCCATAAAAAATGATGTTGTTAGAGAGTTACACGTTGCTAACATAATTATAGTAGGCGCTGATTAATGATATTATCTATTATGAACCATCTAAGTCATTTCTTTTAAGAGTTGTTTTACTGGTACCGATGTTTATGCAACTTAACATTAATCGATTGAGAAATTAAAATTCAAGAGCTTACGACGCCCGAGCACATGTATTAGTTAAATATAAACTTGGCTAGAAGGTTATTCTAGTCAAAAAATATACATATAACACCGAGCAAAAAACCTTATTTTAGTAATTTTTCAAAAAAACTGTGATGTGTTTTAACAAGTTTTGACGCATAAACATTCTTTGAACGAAATAAAAAGGAATGTAAATCACTACATAGTATAAAACAAAGTCGCTTTCTCTGTCCCTTTATTTCTATGTTTGCTTAAATCTTTAAAACTACGCAACGGATTTTGATGCGGTTTTTTAATGGACAGAGTGATTGAAGAGGAAGGGTTATGTATAATACCATCAATTAAATAGTGGAAAAATTAAGTATCAGGATTGCATTCGTGCGAAGTCAGGGCCGGTACTAGTCATAATATATTTCTTTACTTGTGTAATACACACAAAGAGCTATTTCGTGTTGGAATCGAAACAGCAACACGTTGCCCGAGAGCCAGTCACTCATCAACTGTGCAGTCTATGGAGATTGCTATAACAATAATATCAGGCACTTATCAAAATCTTTAACTTTATCCCCTTTATTAGAATACAAGAATTATCTTTAGTCTAGGTTTGATCACCATTAAGGGCGATTTTTCAATGGTTAGATAAAAGTTACCTGTGGAATATGATGCTGTCGCGTCAGAATGTTTGTATAAGACAGTGACAGCAACAATTTTATTCCTCAGGTAACATTTATCTGACTATTGGAAAATCAGCTCTGAGTCAGGTTTTTTATTTTGATTCTAATTCTCACCTACCTTGCTTTTGATGTTTTACTATTAGGTATTATTTTGATTAATTTCGTGTTTGTTTTTGTGTTTTTTTTTTATTTAAAGATAGGTCCCTACATTTGTTCTTTTTTTTTACAAATCGTCTCTGCATTGTTCTCACATACGGGTACAATAATGTATATTAAATGCTACATTACTAAAATTGTACAATCAAACATTTTTTTAAAAAAGATTGAAGATAGAATTTCTTGCTCGTTCTTCTCCATTCGAATTTTTGGAACGAGCACCTAGCTTCACTGACGAACAGACTGACAGACTACTATTCTGTTTTGACGTTTCAAAAGTACCTATTTATACTAGGTTTAGTTGGAATTAATGATTTGACTTTGACTCTTAACATTTTTTTATGTTGATTTTTTTTGTTACTAGTCTTCATGTCTGATGTCGAATAAACGCATTTTTCTTTCTTTCTTTCAGTTTTATTTTTAGACCAAGTCTAAAATAAAACCTAGTTTAGCAACATGATCGTCAATGTTCATTTTATCGTTGTAAATATTTTATATATAAGTTTTAAGTGTGGGAGAGCCATGCTTCGGCACGAATGGGTCGGCTCAACCGGAGTGATACCACGGCCTCACAGAAAACCGGCGTGAAATAACCACTGCGTTGTGTTTCGCCGTGTGAGTGAGGTTACCGGAGGCCCAATCCTTCCCCTTCCCCAATCCCTCCTTAATCCCTAAATCTCCAAATCCCTAATCTCTTAAAGGTCGGCAACGCACTCGTAACTCCTCCGTTGCGAGTGTCCATGGGCGGCGCTGATTGCTTACCATCAGGTAATCCGTCTGCTCGTTTGCCGACCCATTACAATTAAAAAAAAAATCTATTTAGACTTACTTGGCACATAGTCTCAGGGTCGGCGTAATACCCGGGTATCTTGTCGTCACACGTGAAGGATAAACCTTGAGGTACCTCTGTGTAAACCGGGTAATCTTCACCGGGTATGTAGCCGTCTAGAGCCTGGAACATAATAAAAAAACACACAATTATTTAAATGTTGAACGCTGCGCGGCTCCTATGGATGTTAGCGTGATGTTTTACAGCCTTTCTCGATAAATGGCTTATCCAACACAAAAACAATTATATTGTTGTTAAATTCATAGTAGCAGACTAGCAGAACAAACAAAATCTTCAGGTTTATAACTTATATTATCTATTAGCGGACCCTCCCCAAAAACCCTTAGGTACATATCAAATTTCTGCGAAATCGTTAGGGGCCGTTTCCGAGATCACATGCTTTTTCAAGCAATCAGTGCCACCTGCTGGGCTCATTTGTGAATCTAAACCATCCAGGGCGCCACTCAAACGCATATAGAAAAAATAATTTAAATCGGTGATTTAAAGCCGTTTATGAGGATTTCAATGACATACACACGTACAACAGACTTGTATACGTATATAAAGATAGATTGAAAATTTTTACAATCTGCAGGCAAATGGATATTATTATAGTCTAGAAAATGACAGAAATAATTCGGTATTATTGGAGAAAGTACGTCTTGATGACGAAATATGATTGTTACACTCTTTTACTTTAAGTTGTAATTGCAAGTGCAACCCCAGTTTGGATAGGAGCACAAGAAGGAACGGTCAGATTTTTAATCAAGAGAAGTCTGAGACCCTCTCCTACTGTTCCTTCTCCTAGAGAAAAAGAGGGTAAAAAGGGGGTACAGCGGCAAAAAACATCTCTTCCTCAGACTTTCAGGAAAATTTTATTCTAGGTAACTTGTTCATGGAATATGATGGCAAACGAACAGACGGATCACCTGATGGTAAGCAATCAGCGGCGACCATGGACAAACATATTATAATACTAGCAGACCCAGCCTCGCGTTGGTGTGACTAAGGTAAATAATATTGTGACTATGAATTGAGATGTAAGCTATCCTATCTTTCATGTTGGATCAAAATGCACACGGAATGCAAATTAAATTTAAAATCGGTTTAGTAGTTTAGGAGTCCATCGCGGACAAACACGAGACACGAAATTTTTATATATAAAGATAATTATAAGCAATTGTAAGTGTTTTACCCGCTTTTTGGAGGATGAGATTTCAGCATAAGAAGATTTGGAAATTAAGGATGGGAAAGAAGTACTGGGCCTCCGGTAACCTCACTTACACGGCGAAACACATCGCTGTGGTTGTTCCACGCCAGGTTTCTGCGCGGCCGTGGTATCACTCCGGTCGAGCCGACCCATTCGTGCTGAAGTATGGCTCTCCCCTTTATGTTTGTAAGTGCCATATTTTAACGTTATACCCTAGTTTCGTGTCGACAAACTAATTATTGTAATGTGAATGTTGGTAACAAGAAACTTTCATTTCCTCGTCTTGTTAAATGAAGCGACGCCGCATGCATTTATTATACCAGACTCTAGTCGGTTCGATTCTAAAGTAACCGACTTATTTATATTGCTGTGTTAACGGTTTCTTATTAGCTAATAGACAGTCATCAATGAAACAATGAATTTATTTTTGCAAATAGGTCATAAAACGGCACTTTTACACGTCAATTTATATGTGAAAAACTAGATGAAGCCGGCATTTCCTATCTGAGTACTCTGAGAAGAAATGCAGAAACAAACTCAGAGGTCAGTCTCTTTTCAAGATCATCATCGCCTTACAGAATACCGTCGTGTTTTTTTTTCTTATCAGTCATCAAATGCCTTTTCTTGGCATATGTTGTTCTGTTCCTTATTCTACTCTAAGTCGAGATAAAATGAGATGCATCCGCTACCCCGGCTGGCTTCTGTTTTGCTCGAAATGTATTTACGGACTTAACTTCTCTAAAGTAAAGAAATGAAATATGAGAAAGCAATGCTTCGTCGCAAATGGGTCGCCTCAACCAGAGTGATACCACGGCCTTACATAGTACCCGCGAAACAATACCTACGTTGTGTTTCAACGTTTACCTAAGCGAGGTTACGGGAGGACCAATCCTTTCCCCCCACACTCAGTTCTGTCGACTGTAGATCCTGGCTTATAGGAGTTCAAGCGGCTTTGGGAGTGAATGACTCCCAAAGCCGCTAAAAGGAAGTGAAAGACAGTACTACAAAAATAGCCTCGTTCCTCGAAGGGTTTGTATGTATAACCTGGGTGTCTTCAAGGCCCGAGTGAATAGGTTGCTTATGGGTAGGCGTGCTCCATCGTAGGTCGCATCATCGTTTACCACCAGGCGTGAAGACGCCAGACCTTTATTAAATTAAACAAAAATATTCTGCTGACCCTTAAGAAATACTCACAGCTAATGATCGGTCGATTAAATAGAGGAATACGGTGATCAGTCCCACGGAACCCAGCCTCAGCCCACACAGTCGTTTTTGTGGCGTCATTGTTGTTGTGGAACCCTAAATCTACGAATTATTATCAAATCTGCAACAAAAAAACACAGTCATTATGTTAAATCTTTACTCCGTGATAACGCACACTTAAACTGCGCAAGTTTAAGTGTGGGAGAGCCATGCTTCGACACGAATGGGTCGGCTCGACCGGAGTGATACCACGGCGTCACAGAAAACCGGCGTGGAACAACCACAGCACACCGGTGACCTCACTCACACTGCGATTGTTTTTCGCCGTGTGAGTGAGGTCACCGGAGGCCCGATCCTTCCCCCCCTTAATCTCTAAATCTCCAACACACTAATCCATAAAAGTTCGGCAACGCATTGATAACTCCTCTGTTGTTGCGGATGTCCATGGGCGGCGTTAACGATACCACGGCCCCACAGAAAACCGGCGTGAAACAACACAGCGATGTGTTTCGCCGTGTGAGTGGGGTTACCGGAGGCCCAAACCTTCCCCTCCCCAAATCTCTCCACAATCCCTAAATCTCCAAAATCCCTAATCCCTAAAAGGTCGGCAACTCGTAACTCCTCTGTTGCTTTGGGTAACCATGGGCGGCGCTGATTGCTTACCATCAGGTAATCCGACAGCTCGTTTGCCGACTTCTCACATAAAAAAAACATAGTTTGGAACTCAAGAAAGGACATTGGATAGTTATTAAACCAAAAATCTGCAGGAAGTCACTATTCCACACGAACGGAGTCGCGGGCAAAAGCTAGTATGAATATAAACCTAACTGTCAGTTGGATTCAAATAGTTTTTGAAACAATATGAGAGAGATGTTATCTCAGCCATTTAAACAATGCAATTACAACATTCACAAGGTTCTGACCTACCTCTGACACAGATTTGGGCGTGATGATACAATATTGAATGATTATAGAGTAAGCAGAGTTCATTATAGTTTTAGTTCTTTTTGTGTAAATGTCCTTGTTTTGTTTTTGAGGTCGTTTTATGTCGAGATGTGTTTTTGGATACATTGTTGTGGGTTTATTATTTTTAATTACTATGTTGTCAACTTATTGTTAAGATAATATTACGCTTTTTCTTTTTTTTATTAGTTACTAGCTCTTACCCGAGCGTTGCTTCCGTCATGTAACTTACCCTACTCTACCGACCATACTCTAACTACTCTACTCTGCCTACCCTACTCTACCTAAACTACTCTACCTACCCTACTCTTTCTTCCCTACTTTACCTACCCTCCTCTACCTACCCTACTCTACCTACCCTACTTTACCTACCCTCTCCACCTACCCTACTCTACCTACCCTACTCTACCTACCCTACTCTAACTACCCTACTCTACCTACCCTACTCTACCTACCCTACTCTACCTACCCTACTCTACCTACCCTACTCTACTTACCCTCTCTACCTACCCTACTCTACCTACCCTACTCTACCTACCCTACTCTACCTACCCTACTCTACTTACCCTCTCTACCTACCCTACTCTACCTACCCTACTCTACCTACCCTACTCTACCTACCCTAGTCTACCTACCCTACTCTACTTACCCTCTCTACCTACCCTACTCTACCTACCCTACTCTACCTACCCTACTCTACCTACCCTACTCTACCTACCCTACTCTACTTACCCTCTCTACCTGCCCTACTCTACCTACCCTACTCTACCTACCCTACTCTACCTACCCTACTCTACCTACCCTACTCTACCTACCCTCTCTACCTACCCTACTCTACCTACCCTCCTCTACCTACCCTAATTTCCCTTCCCTACTCTACCTACCCTACTCTACCTACCGTACTCTACCTACCCTACTCTACTTAACCTATGTCCTTCTCACAGTTCTTATAGTTACCTCCTTACCAATTTTAAGCCAAATCGGTTCAGCCGTTCTTAAGTTATAAGTGAAGTAACTAACACGACTTTCTTTTATATATTTAGATATGTAGATTTGAGTGCGTTTGACCTCTATCACGCCTGATGGAAAGCAATGATGGGGTCTAAGGTGGAACACGTAAATTCAAAAAGTGCTTATTTATTATGTTTTCGGCTTACTCACGTAATAATTTGACGAGATACTCGACTAGTTTCAAGCCATGCTAGAGGCCCATATTCATGAGCAGCATTCCAATCCATTGAATATGGGCCTCTAGCATGGCATGAAACTAGTCGAGTATCTCGTCAAATTATTACGTGAGTAAGCCGAAAACATAATAAATAATTTAGAATGTCTCACGAAAGTTATAATAAAAATATCAAAAAGTGCTTATTGACTCTTGAAAATCCCTAAATCGTAGGTCTCTGGGAACAGCGACGCGGAACCGACTTCTTTACAAAAGAACTAACGATTGCTGTGTTTCTTTTACAGAATATGATGTGTCGTGATTTGTCGTGAGATTGAGGTTATCGGAGGCCCAATCCTCCCCTCGCCTCAATCCCTAAAACTCCAAATCGCTAATCACCATAAGGTCAGCAGCGCTTAATATTATTAGAGGTATATGTTTGAATTTTTGTGAAAGTCTGAATGATTAGTTCCAATTTTTTTGATTGTTTGTTTTAAGTTCATCTTTTTATATTTCGTTTTTTCTTTTCCTTTATTATATCTGTGTTTGATACTGTTTGTACACGGATTTGATCCAATTACATTATAATTGGATCAAATCCGTGTTAACATAAATAAATAGATAAATAATAAATAAACGCACTCATAACTCCTATGTTGTTGCGGATGTCCATGGGCGTCGCTGATTGCTTACCATCAGGTAATCCTCATCTGCTCGTTTGCCGACCTATTACATAAAATTAAAATATTCTGGGCCCCGAAAGGCTGTGGGGGTTCCGGAGCAGGTCTCTTGTAGAGGACCCGGGGCCCCTTACAGGTGATGAGGATGGCCACCGGGGTGGTTTTAGTGAGGTAAAAATCCCACACTCCCTATTCTTTCTCCCCAAAAAGCTAGGCGCTTTTTGAAGGTTTCCACGCGATACAAAAAAAAAAGGCCCCGAGAGGCTGGCAAAGGCACTCGTAACTCCTCCATGAGCGGCGCCGATTGCTTATCACCGATTATCATAGTAAATCCTATTACTTATATAAATATATCAAATATACGCCTATAATAACTCTTCGGAAACCAACATGAAGTTGTAGCAACAATACTGTAACTTTTACAATTACAAATTGTAACATTAATGCTATTAACGTTAATAGTTTTCGTGTCTTCAGTTTAATGTAGTGTCGTAACTAAATTACAGTTAATTTTAACTACGATTACAATTGTTAAATTAACGCGAAAATTTAACTCTATTTTGGTTTTAGCGTATAAGATATAATTTATTTATTTTTGTATTTTACGTTGCTCTCGTCCGAACGTTAGGGCCTGGGAGTCAACAGAAAACCAGTGTTATGATTTCAGTGAGCTCAAATTATACTGAGATACGTAGCTCTTTGCATTTTTGAAGGTGTTTAGCCACGTTTCGACACGAATGGACTGGACTAACATCACAGCCTCACAGAAGACTTTTTTTATGATATAGGTCGGCAAACGATCAAAACGGGTTACCTGATGGTAAGCAATCAGCATCGTCCATGCACAACACTAAAGGAGTTACGAGTGCGTTGCCGGGCTTCTAGGGATAAGGGTTTCAGATATTTAAGGATTGGGAAGGGATGGGGGGAGAGGAAGGGGTTGGGCCTCCAGTAACCTCAGTCTCACTACGAAACACACCAGACCCTCGCAAAACCAGAGGAGGAACCTAAAAAGACGATATTGGTTAAGTAAAAATTGCCCGGCAAAATCTCTGCCGACCCTCTAAGGAACATAAAGAACGAATGTGTGTACTGCTTGATTGACATACACACAATAATTATTCGCCGGAACAATGAAACAGACAGACAGACAGACGGACAAAAACAAATGAAAATATGTATGTAT